TTCTGAGCGGGCTGGGGCGGTGCTGGTTTCCCCTCTGCGAGGCCATAAGTAATTTTCCCTTCGAGGGGATTTCTGTTTCGTTGTTAAAGCGCGGTTGTAGGAGGGGCGGTGGCAGGTGGGCGCCCCCTCAGGTTGCTTCCCGGCGGGTGGCTCTCCCCGCCCTGCACGAGGCTCTGGTTCGCTCGCTGTTGGGGCAGAAGGGGCCGGGGCTGCCGGCTGCCTGGGGCAGCAAGGCTGGCCTGCGGCTCTGGCCGTGTGCCGGCTGGGGGGCTTGTCCGGGACCGGGATGGGCGAGGGTGAAACGACCCACCGTGATGCTTCAGCCAAGTCTTCTGGGTCCTCTTAGGGCTGTGTCTTACGTGTCTTTATCCTCGTTCCTTCCTGAACGTGTTGGCTTTAGTTTACCTTTTCTTCCCCAGAAATCCTCTTCCTCAGCTACCCAAAATCTAATCATTTTAGAAAGGAAGCAAGGTCCATCTTGGCTTGAAAAGTAGTAAGCTAGGATAGTTCTCATGCGACCATGTAAAAACTCGGTGGAACTTTGTCTACATATGACTCATTTTGCTCCATCTTGCTGGCTTCCCGTCTCATCTCTACTTCAAAACATACTTTGCAGTGGTACTATGCACCACTTGGTTTTTTACATCTGGTCCGCAGCTGAGAAAAACTGCTGTAAAGCTGAACATGGGGTAGCTTAGAGCAAAGAGTTCTTTTTACTTATCATGTAAATTTTACCGAGATTCATTTTAGTGGCATCTACTGCATGTATTTATGTTAAGACAAAATATTTATAGGCCTCTAGACAATACAGAGGGTATTTTCACTTTTTTTGCTCATATTTCCTTAAATATTCTTTATTTTTACTTATGCATATATATTTTAATAATTTTTCAGGAGATCTACTAAGTTCAGCGTGTTACATGCGGAACCTGTAGTATTTATTCTGTGTGAAACGTAGTTGTTCCAGAGCACAACTGAAGGGGGAGCACGTAAATTATTTTTGAAGACCGAAGGTATTTGTGAGTATATACTGACACTGAGGCAAGCTAAAACCATTTAAAAACAATGCAGTTCTAAAAATTAAGAGGAAAAAAAATGTAAGCTATTGTGAAATTTAATACCTTGGTATACCAAGAGGCAGATGTGATCTATCTTGAGTACTGGAGTTGTGCTTAATGTTTATGTTGCTTATGCTTATTCTTGCCTTGGTTACTTACGAGAGACTTAATCACACAGTTTAAGAATAAAAGCAACAAAAAAAATCTGCACTCGTTTTTACACAGTGCCCTTTCTGTTACTGGATTTCACTAGCGAGAGCTCTTTTTGTGCAGCAACACAGAACTTGGTGTCAATTTACAGGTACTTTTTTTTTTCATAGCCTTCAGTAGCTAGTCTGTCATAGATCCACCCATAGACCTTCTTTACTGTAAACCAGCTATTCCCTGCCTCCTCTTCCTGCTAGCATTTCAGTCCAGAAGTTAAGGAGTTTGAAACTTAAGACTTCCTTGAATTTCTTTGGTAACAATCGACGTTTAGTCAAGACTGGAAACAATGCTTCGAGTGATTGTGGAATCTGCTACCAACATCCCTAAAACCAAGTTTGGGAAACCAGATCCTATTGTTTCTGTTATTTTTAAAGGTAAGGAAAGCTGTCATAAATGTACTCAGTGAGGAGCTTTTCTGAAGGATAGTGCCCTATGTAAGTATTTGAAAATCTGTGAAAATGTGTTTTCCTGAAGTTATATCTGATGTAACTTTAGGGAAGACTTTTTAAATAGAGAGACAGGAGTTACCTGAATGAAGTTTGAACTGGGTGGAGTGCCTTGGTCTTTTCTGGCCAGCAGTGCTTCTGTTTCAGGATCCACGTTTTACAAGCTTTTGCAAAGGCTTAGCCCTTTGCTTTAAAAACCCAAATCTAACTGCACAGAGAAATCCACTTCTAATTCTGGTATTGAAGATTACCTTGTTGTTTTCTATCTGAAAAAATCATTCCTCTGTCTCGATTACTTTGCACAGCCACTGCTCACTGTTACACCAATTTTTATTGTGACTGGTTTATTGTTATTACCAGCATGTTGAAAAACAGTAGTACCATTACTGAAGGTGTTTTGTTTTGTTTTGTTTTTTACAAACTGAATTGCACTTTAAAATTTTGCCTGTTGAGATTATTCAATTTAAAATAAAGATTTAGGAAGGAAACCACATATTACACTTGCATTGCTCATCAGATGCGTATGGGAGAAGAATACAACAGTGTGATAAAACTAGCATTTGTATGTAAAGCTAATTATATTTTACAGTGTATTTTACGTGTTGCCATCATTTCCTCACTTGGCTAGACTAAAGGAACTTGATTTCAAGTATTGGTTTATCTCTAAGGTGCAGAAACCTCCAAGCAATTTTGGATCATGTAATACGTTAAACCAAACTGTGACAAACGGTCATCTTAATTCCTGGTGACCTGGTTTCCTAACTGTGCACTGAAATGGAAATGGTATTTCCTAAACTATGAAAAATCATTGCGGGGGTTTGTCACCTTTAGAAACCAAATCTGAAATCATGACATTTTGCTGGAGGCTGGAAAAGGACAAGGCAGTGCATGTCCAGTGTCTTAACTTCCAAAATAAAAAGTTTTCGGATACTTTATTTCACCATCAGAAAGATTCCATTTCCTTTCTTTTCCTCCTCTCTTTCAAGTTTGTTTTTTCACCCCCCCTGTGTGTTAGGGCAAGTGGCTGAGTCTGTCTCAGTAGCTTTTGGAACTTCCTAATTCTTAAAATATTTTATTTGCCCTGCAAAAAGTGCTGTTACTGGTATACTGTAATTTCTCTGGTTTGTTCCATTTGTTTCTACTGCTTCTTAAGCATTCATATTTTCTTTTCAGTTTCTTGTCTTTCTCTTTGCTTTCCTGTCACAGTTTTGCCTTTCTGTTAGCTCTGTTCCTGCAGTTTCATAATCCAGAGTTGGTTTATGCCTTTGCTTCTTTATGCTTTGAGTGTCAGTTTAATTCCTCCCTGTAATCTTTTGTTCCTACTGTGTGCTCTAATGCAATTAAGTTTTACCTAGTAAACATAAGTTACAGATTTCTTTTTTTTTTTTTTTCTCCTGCATTGCTGGATTTGTTTCTCAGGCCTTCAGTTATCCGAACGCAGGAATTGGGCAACAGACATTCAAGGAATGAGTTTATGTTTATCCTTTATGTGCTATAACTGGGATTTTTAATGTTCACAAACATGCTTAATCATTGTCTTAAATACAACTATATAATTGTGACAGTTTTTTAGTAGGATATTTAATTTCTCATTATACCTGCCACTTCTTTTTATGTGGTTTTACTACTTACCAACAGTATGATTTTTTGCTTTCTGTCCAGAGTGATTCAAGGGGGCCAGAAAATACCAGGCTTTTGCCAGCTATTGAGCAGCTCTGATTTAGTTTGTAGGTGGAGTACCTGGTGGCCAGGTGCAAGGGCGTAGGGATCATACCTGAAGTATGAAAAACTTCTGGCTGTTTATGTTTATAGGTGTTTTCTATATACAGCGTGTTCCCCCTCATGCTGTTAGTGTGTAGAGATAGGAAACCAGTCTTATTTTGGGGAAGGTGTATGTCAAAGGGCAGCAGTCTTTAACAGTAGTACATACCCACCATAGCTCCTGGGGGACATACAAAACACAATTGGGAGTTTGTTTTGGGAAAAACTCGGGCATTTGCGGGACTTTGGCTGTAGCCCTGCAGTACATTTTCATGTTCTTGTTTGACTCTGGAGCATTGTTGGAGAAGTCTTGGAGAACAGCACTCATTTGACAGAAAATTGCTGTGGAAGTTGACGTTTCATTAAACAGTGTTTTGTTCGTTAGCCTTTTCAAACTTTAATTTACATAGCCTTTGCTGATGTCAGGTTCAGTAATTGTAAGACTTCAATGAAAATACACAGTATCTCTCAGGATTAGACCTTTATGGCTATGCTGTGAAGAAAAAAGCCATGATCCTACAACAATTAGTATGTAAGTGATTCTGCAAACACTTTTTATGTTAACACACACGTTAGTAGAGTTTCATCTATGTATAGAATAGACTTCATCAGATTTGTATAACTAAGCTAGTTATAGACTATACAGTCAGTACAATTAATACAATGACTGGTACATATTAGGAGGAAATAGGCAGCTGTTTCTGTTGTGATGGCTTATTTACAATAGAGGGGTTTTGTGCAAGCATTTGACTTTTTTTTTACACATTTATGTTCAGTCCAGTGGGATGGAACTTTTCGTTTATTTACTTTAAGAACAACTCACTGTTCAAAGAGAATTACACCCTGA